ATGTAGGCCAGTCGATTTCTGAACGGTTGTTCAAGAGGCAGTCAAAGTGTTTCCGCCAGATCTGCATTATATCTGCAGTCTGTGTGCAGGTAGCGCCTGAGCTACTATCGATCAGCGTCCTCAGCGGCTCCAATCTCGGTCCATACACCGCCTTCAAGGTGTCAAAAAATTCCTTGTGTTGGCGGCGTTCGGTGTAGCATTCCATCTGCTTCGCCTTCTCCGTCCACCATGCATCTTTTATGCGACGGAGCTCTGGGGTCAGTCGCCGTCGAAGTTTGCGAAACTGACTCTTCTTCCCCAAGTCACTGGGGTCTGCGACATGTGCAGCAAATGCTGCATTCTTCACCGACACTAATGCGCAAATCGTCGCATTGTTGTCATCAAACCAATCAGGCCGCTTACAGTTTGCGCGCCCGATGGTCTCCTCGGCAGCAATTGTCACTTGGTCGCGAACGTGGTGCCACAAGTCGCCCACTGTGGCTATGCCTTCCACATCACATAGGCGTGCAGCCATCGCCCTCTCCAGCTCAGTGCGTTTCGCCACAGTACCGAGGGAGAGAATGTTAAATTTACGCCGATTCACGGTGATACGTATTACTCGAGTATTGCTGGATCGCACCTGGACCCTTAGTCCGCGCAAGAAGTGAATAAGAACACACACCGGATGGGACGTGACAAAAACTGTAATAGATAGCTTGTAGGTTACACCAGATGAATAAGTCGAAAAGGAACCAATCAGCACAAGGAAAAAGAGTGGACGAATCAGCTATCGGTCAATCGATCTGTATGTGTCTGTGTTTGCTCATCGGCTCAGCGATTTAGCGGACGACACACATGTAACACACGGCGAGAGCGCAGTACATAGATTTACGAAAATATATGTACAGTTTGGTCCGCACCAATTTGTGATCAGTGCCACACTCAGCTCCACGCAGTGCACGTGTCATGCGCACTTCACGCATATCACGCTGACGTAAGATGACATAGTCGAGCAGGTGAGCGTGACCACTCCGTAGGTGCGCTGTGGGTAGCGCTGTCAGTCGTATCAAAGGACCTAAGGACAAGTGAGCGGTTCCCTCAGGCTTTCCTAAACCTAGGCTAAACACAGATACCGATCAGTAATATCGGTTTCTGCTCGACAAGCATGCACGAAACGATCATGATTAATAACAACAAAACCGAGAGACGGAATCGAGTCAATGCCGAGAATCGGCGTAAGCTGTTTCTCCGCGATCACAAACTCTAGTCGATGTGAGGCTCCATCTCTTGGGTTAACGACTTCGATTGAGCCCTTCGGATGAAGTTTGGAACCATTCCACATACCCAGGTAATCTTGATCGGATCGAATAGACACTCCGGGACGGTGCTTCCTTGGTATAATATTGACGGTAGCACCTGTGTCTAACTGAAATCCTACAGCTTTGCCTCCGATCAAAAGACTTGCGTAGACACATTTTTGCGACACCTTCCGAGACACATTGTCAATTGAATGTTGTGCATCTGCGGGTGACTTGTCACGAACGACCGCACTAACTTTGGTTGATCAGCAAAGTGGTTTCTTTTCCATATTTGGCGCATCTCCGTCCCCACGACGGACACGGTTAGCGGGAGCTCGGGTGTAGCGTGGCGCAAAATTTGCAAATCTGCCTCACGTTAGTAGCCTTCGCTGCGTCGCATCCGGAAACGGCACACAACACTGCATCAGTTGCGAATTTCATTTGCTGGTACTGATAAGTGGTAGAGGACTCACTGTCGCAGATATAGATGCGTTGTCGCAAAAGCCGCTTTGTGGTATTTTCATCATTGATTCCTAAAATGATCCGATCGCGTATGAGACTGTCGCCCATGCATTTACAGAAACTGCAGGATCGGGTCAAAATCTTCAAGTGACGTACGCATCGACGGATTCGTTTGGGCCTCTATTGCGCGAAAAGAAAAGATAGCGCTGGTAGGTCTCGTTGGGTTGGTCCTAGCAAAATTTACTGAACTTTTCAATGACCGTCTTCAAATTATTGGGATCTTCGCCTTTATCGTATTGCAATGTCTCTATCACTCGGCGCGCCATCTCCGGCTGCGTGTCAAAACATGGTCAGGCGATATACTATCGGTTGCTTCTCCAAATATACCAAAGTGCAGAAATTTATCCACTTACTTCTCCATAGACGCCAATTACTCCCCAGGTTGCGTGCATCCACGTTCAATGAGGCAGGCATATGAACAGACGCTGGTGGTCCAAAAAGCATGCGAGCGCCGCCGGTGGGGTTCGCCTTTGTCTTCTCTGGCACCATGTTGCCGAACTCAGTCCTTCATGGACAAGTGTTTACTCAGCAAAGTCAGATCGACGACAGCACGTTTGACAAGCTAAGCTTCTCGATATAAGTCGCACGTTTAAGTCCGTAAGTAACGACACTTTTGAGTCGATGAGATTCCTCCTTTGATTCAGTTAAATAAACGGTTAATCACTCACACGAATATTGGCCAATCTGAGTCTGGTAATCGAAGCCGTTACATCCGCCTCCCATTGGCTGTCTGGCTCGCTCGGTTGGTTCACCCGCTTACTCGGAGCTGACACTTCCATCACACACAGAAGCAGCGGATTCAATGGTACCATACCTTTTGTAACTTCTTGGAGTCTATGGAAACTCACAATCCCGATAAAAGGAAAATCTCGGTAAACTACATAGCCCCATCAAACTTCGAGTATATTGCTGAGAACACCAACTTCAGCGAAGTTATACAGGCACTGGAAGGTGTATATATCAAGCCTAAAAATGTTTTCGCGCGCCACAGTTTAGCTAAGTGTAAGCAAGAAAACTGTTCTAACTTGGATCTATTCATTCAAAGGCTTAAAGTTCTTGCTAGGGACTGCAACTTCACGGCAGTCAGCACGGAGCGAAATCCTGATGGCGTCATTTGCGACGCCTTCATTACGGGGATACTTTCTCCTCAGATACGACAACGATTACTGAGACACAGTGCGTCAAATTTTCAAACTGCATTCGACTTAGCGAGGTCACTGAAAATGGCACATTAACACACAGTCTTACCAAAATGCCGTAATTTCCCCATCGTGCGCATCAGTGCCCAACAGATCCGAGTCACCTCCCAAAACTGCCAAAGCACTATCTCCACCACCACTATGACCATGGGTTTCCGCTGCGTCCAACGAAAAATGTTACATTCGCGGTTTTACTCGACATCCACGGGCGAGATGTCCGGCGCGAGATGCAGTTTGCATGGGTTGTGGGAAGAACGGACACTTCAGAAAAGGTTGCTTATCTAACATCCAAAAAGAATACCTCCCAGGCAACTTCGTTGATTTCTCACTCTACGATTGCAGCTGCACCTGGTTGCTTAACTCGGGCTGTCACCAAGTTACAGGTTAATGGTTCGGATCTGGAAGCGTTGATTGATACTGGCAGCTCCGAAAGCTACGTCTCTGCTGTTGTTGCTCAGAAAGCAAACCGGAAGATTAATCCGTCTCGCGCGCGCATATCCAAGATCTCAACTCAACTGCAGATGTTTACCGGTGGGCATTAAAAAGTGACGGTTACGTATAATGGTGAAGTCTACTACAACGTCGGACTTTCCGTGTTACATAATCTGTGTCCAGATGTCCTTCTCGGACACGATTTGCTTCAATTACGTGAGAAAATGGTTGTGAAACCTGGGCCATCAGGTCGACAGACACAAAGAGGCTCGTCATATTCTATCATCGCTGCCTTCGCAACGTAGCTCATGTCTGGTGGGAGCACCGCGTGAACAATGAGCGTGCTCGATGTCGCGTATTTGGTGCAGGAAGAGCGAGTGAACCGCTCAGCACCATTATATCACGCACCAGGCTCCGATGGCTGAGCCACGTGTTGCGCATGCCAGCACAACGACTCCCGCGACGTGCATTGTTTGCGCGTTGTGGGTGCGGTTGGAAGAGGAGGAGGGGAGGCCAAGTGATGACTTGGTCGAGAGAAATGAAAACCCTCACTTCGAAGTTGGCGTCGGTTGGTGCATTCCGACTGCCTGGCTGGGGTCCTAAGGACGGTGAACACGTTTGGTTGGACACACTTGCTGATATGGCTAGGAGCCGGCTCCAATGGCGTTTGTGTTGCGAGCTCCTTTGTCCATCCCCTCCTGTTTAGCATCCCCCTCCAATCGCGATCTCATTTGTTAGGCATAATATGACTCTCTTTTACGGCAGCCAGCTATTAGCTCTCCGGAACGATGTCCATCCGTTACTGGGGACTCAGCAGGCGTGCCACTGTTTGTTTTCCTTTTCTTGTCTTTTGTATTGCGGTACAATAGCTGAGGTGTTTTCCACCTCCAGCTAATGTGTAATGATGATGGTGATTCCACTGAGTGGCAAGAAACCACCCGTGTGTTTAAAGCCTCATCGGTGCTAAGGTTGAAGCCCCGTTAATCTTCCGTAACCTCGCGCCGGAGTGCAAGTCAATAGCGACAATGTCCAGACGATAAAGTCCCAAGGCGAGGCTTTCATTCGCTCCGAAATAAGCCATCTCCAACAAGAAAACATCATCAAGCCATCCTTTTTCCCATGGATAACTCAGGTACTAGTCACTATCAAGTAAAGACACAAACGGCGAATGATCGTAGATTACAGCCAAACGATAAACCGATATACACACCTAGATGCATACTCTCTTCCTAAAATGGAGGAAATGGTCCAGAAGATTGGTACTTTTGAAACATTTAGTACCTTAGACTTAAAGAGCGCTTACCAACAAATTCCTATCAAACCTGAAGAACGTTTGTACAAAGCTTTCGATGTCTGCGGCAAGCTTTTTCAATTCTGTCGCATACCTATTGGAATAACGATTAGCGTCTCTTGCTTTCAAAGAACCATTGAGGAAATGATCTCCAAGGAAAATTTGTTCGATACGTCTGCCTACACTGACAACGTTACGGTCTGTTGTAAAGACTCTATCGAACATGGAAAAAAGTTAGATCGCTTTCTGAAGGTCACTTCAAAGTGCGGTATCACTTACAATCACGCAAAAAACGTGTTCGGAGTCAAGCAGATCTGACTTCTAGGGTATGAAATTTCGAAAGGAATAATTAAGCCCGATCCCGAACGATTAAAGCCTTTGCAAGAATTGCGTCCTCCCATCGACATCAAGGCTCAACAGAGAGTGACAGAGATGTTCGCTTACTACTCCCAGCGCATACCACACTACTCTGATAAAATTGGCTCTCGCTCACAACATACAATTTCCCATACCACCATCCGACCAAAAGTCCTTTGACGATTTGAGGGAGGAACTGAAGAGCTCAGTACTTACCACTGCCGATCCTCATGTACCGTTAGTAGTTGAAACGGGTGTTTCAGAGGTAGCTATCTCAGCTACCTTAAACCAAAACGGCAGGCCAATAGCTTACTTTTCTCGTACCTTATCTTCCATTGAGAAGCGCCATTCATCGGTGGAAAAATAAGCCTACCCGATCGTTGAGGCAGCGCGAAAAATGGCGACACCTACTACTTGATAACCACTTCAAGTTAGTCACAGATCAACGTTCTGTGGCTTCCATGTACAACAGTCTGAAACAAAAGAAAATTAAAAACGATAAAATACTGCTCTGGAAGCTTGAACTTGCGTCATTTAACTACGATGTTATATACCAACCCGGTAAGTTCAGTCATGGAACCGACACACTTGAGTACCTGCTGCAGCAGCTCATCTCGCGGTCCGAACCTACAACTCCATGGTTCTTTGTGTCACCCGGGCATAACTCGCATGATTCATTTCGTTTGCGTGAAAAACTTACTGTATTCTGTGGCTAAAATCAAATCCATGGCTTTTAGTTATGCCGTTCGTTGTAAGTCGAAACTGGGACAGCTGGCTTAGGCAACTAAACAGTTTGAATGATTTAATGTTGATTGTTAAGACTCCTACACAAGAATTCTCGAAAACGCTATCTGTTAACTATATTGGACAAGGTTTCTGGTTTTCCATTTGCTTTTGCATGTTCCGACTTGAGATCTTTTACTGTGATAAGCTTCCTCTTGTCAGCTCTCCCAGAGGCAGTTGCTAGAGCAGCACAACGCATACCACAGACCGACAATAGCTATGTTCCTCGATTTCAAGAGTGCGTTCGATTCACTGGATTGAGCGATTCTGTTCGAAATACTTGCGCGGAAAGGTGTTCCCACGGAATATGTGAACATCATGCGTGCTCTATACTCGAACACTACAGGCCGCGTCAGTCTACGGTGACCTGTCGGACAGCTTTCCGACCACAAATGGCGTCTGCCAGGGTTGCCCGATTTCCCCGTTTTTGTTCAATTTCGTCGTGGACTCTATCATGGAGTGTTCCCTTTCGAAATCTCACGATGTACGCGTTAGACCCTGCCTGGTGAAAGGTTAGCTGATCTTGATTATGCGGACGATATCATCTTGCATTCTGACGATTTTGCGGCGGCAAAACCCTGAATAGCCTGTCTAGAATGGTCACATTATTAGGTACGCCATACGCACCTTCAAAGTACAAAGTGTTGCTGGAGGACCCCCAGTCTATTTGATGACTCCTTGACCCTTGATAAAGAGGAACGAGCTGGTTGATCGATCCATTTACCTTGGCAGTTGCATCAGCAACGATGGCCACAATCATCAACAACAGCAGTACATCAGCCATTTAAATTGATGCTGCACTGCCATACAACCACGACGGCCAAAGGAATAAACAATAATAGGAGGGGAAGAAGGGGGACTTAACTGAAAAGCTTAATGACCTAAGCAAACATTCAGGATCAAGGCGCCTACACTTTGTGTTAACAACATACCGTCACAAGCAGCTCGCTATCGTGCAAAGAAAAGGCGGCATTGGCGAGACAGCTTTCTTGCGGCTTTCACTGCCACGCGTCATAATCAGCCAGTACCAAGCGGATAACAGCACGAAAACAGACGTTAAACAGGCTTCTGACTAAGAGACGGCAGTAGACGCGCCACTGGTGTCGGTTGCGAGCCATGTCCTGTAAAGTTTCGAGCCTAGCACAAGGTGAGTCACGTGAACTCCAGCCCGGAAGGCGAGACGGACCAACGGCAACCAGTTTGGTCGTCAATAACTTCATTTCACGCTGCCAAGTCAACTTCTGTCCACCTCGAGCCTTGCGCTACACTAGGCCTGGCAGAATAAACAAGACCCCACTACGTAAGCGGTGGCCAGGCATACGTAGCACGTGCCCGAGCCAACGCAATCTATCCAGTGCTATCCCTTATTCTAAGGAACTAACCGGGTTACTACCGCCTAGTACTCGTCTACGCAAATCATCGTAGCGGACTCGCTGGAGCCATCTGACAACACTAATGCTTCGCAGACAACGATGATCAAAGACTTGAAGGCGCCTCAGATCTACAGACCGAATGCGCAGTCTCACTACCATAGAGCAGAACGGACCTTACTGTGGCCTTGTATACACGGCCTTTCAGATGAAGGGAAACTCCCTTCTGTCGCCAAAGAGGCCGCAGGTTCAAGAAAGCAGTTCTGGTAGTTGCAATGCGTGAACTGACTTCAGTATCTATGCGCCTATCGTTGCTGTTGCGGCTGCCAAGATAAGTGAATTGATCAACCACCTCGAGTTCCTCGTTAGCAAGCGTCAAGGAGTCATCAAGTGGCTGGTGGTCCTGCAGTAACACTTTGCACTTTGAAGATGTGAAGCGCATACTTAATAATGGGACCCTTTTAGACAGGCTAATCAGCGTTGATTATGCCGCCGCAACATCGTCAAAAAGCAAGACGATATCGTCCGATTAATCTAGATCGACTACTCTTTCACCAGGCAGCACTTTAACGCCTATATCGTGAGCGTCCGCAAGGGAACACTCCATGATAGAATCCACGACGAAATTGAACAAAAATCCGTCGCAACGAGACTGGACCACAACGTGGTGCGACGGTTTGCGTACCTCATTCACCCATTGAGCCATAATGGGTGATGCCTCCGAGCCTCTTGAGAGCTACTCCTACCAGGTTGGTCAATGGTGAGAGGTCAGACAAACTCAGTCTCCTGGTCCACCAGGTTGGGGGTTTGAAATGGGATGGCGTCCATTTCTGTAAAACTAAATCATTGCCACCTCCCCGCTGCCTTGCGGACAGGCTTTTGAGCCAAAGACTTTGCATGAGGTCCCTAATCGTCTTACCGTCTACGTCAGGGCGCCCTGGTAATATCTCAGCCCACATGCAACCATGACATCTTCAAACATAAACTCCATCCTGCATCGGCCGTCGCGCAGATTAGTAAGGGTCGACTTATCTGCTGCATAGAGCAGGGCAGATAAGAAAAAACATGCTACTGCTGGCGCCTCCTTTCTTTCACTTCCACCTTTTCCTCTTACTCCCCGACCCCCAATTCCCAACCTTCCTTCCATAATTCCCAGCTTAATTGACAGCAACAGAAGTGACACTGGGGTAGAACCATTTGCAGCCACCATCCACCGCACGTATCGGACACCTGTCGGCAAACGTCCCCTATAAGGCCATGCTATCCCGTTTCCATGGCGACGTTCAACGTCCGCACTCAAACACAAACAGGTCAACAGGCTGATTTGGTATCCACCTTGGACACACTGGGCATTCATGTGTGTTGTGTGTCCGAAACTAAGATCAACGACTCTAATGGGGTTATTGAATTAACTGCACCCGGCTTATCCTCTCGTTATTGGTTGTACGCATCCGGAGACGCCGTTGCAGCATTCACGGGTCTAGCTGGTGTAGGTATCATCCTAAGCTCCAAGGCTGAGCCATCGTTGGTTTATTGGATTCCGGTGAACAGCCGTTTATGTGCAGTCCGTTTGACGACATCAGCTAAGGTTGATTCACGAAGTAGTACAAAACGCTGTTTGTTTGTGATTTCCGCTTATGCTCCCACCGACTGCAGTTCTAATGCTGTCAAGGACACATTCTATCACGAACTGAACGCGCTACTACGCGGTGCTACTGGTTCAGATATCATAGTAATTGCAAAGGATATGAACGCACAAGTAGGGCGTATGACCTCTTCAGAAGCTCAGCTGGGTGGTAATGGTCCGAACGGACAGACAACGGTGAGCGTCTGCTGCAACTGTGTGCGGAGCACCAGTTGTTTCTTAGCAGCACTACTTTTAGACACAGTGGGCGCAGAAGTGCACTTGGCGTCCTCCTGTAGCTGGCCAGCGATGGACCCAAATTGACCACCTGATTATAAGTTACAGGTGGCGTGGTTCCATCCTGGATTGCCGCTCATACTGGAGTACCTGTGTCGACTCTGATCATGCCCTGGTGCGCTGTCGTTTCTCCATGAACTTTACCGGGAGGCGCATCAAGTGTCCCCTACGATTGGCAACGGAGAAATTGTCTCAGTCCTCGGTCAGGCAAATCTATCAAGAAGCACTGCATACCGAACTTCCGATGTCTTGTCCTAATGACACTGAGCTTCAGTGGGATAGAATCTCGACCGCAATTCACGACGCAGGAACATCTGTTTGTGACACTATCCATCGTCACCGCACCAGTCACTGGATATCCGAGAGCTCGGTGAACCTTTTGGAAGCTAGAAGGCTGCTCCCGGCTGGTTCTGAACACAATGTGACCAGACGGGCTATTAAGCGTGAACTAAAGCAGAGCCTGCGTGTTGACAAGGAAGCATGGTAGCCCAGTAGGGCTCAGGAAATGGAGGAGGCAGGAGCAGGAGGCAATTACCGCAAGCTCTCCCAGCTAATCCGCACCACTGGTCCCAGAAAACCAGGCGTCAATGAGACAATCAGAGATAGCGCGTGTGCGCTGATACACAATAAGGAGCGCCGTATGGCTTGTTGGGCGGAACACTTTCAAAATCAGTTCAGCTGACCCCCTGCTCCCGGACCTCTTTCTACTCAGGTGATGCAGGACGAGCTATGGACGGTTAGTTTAGAGCCTCCGTCGGAGGCTGAGGTCCGAAATGCGATCACAGTCCTTAATCGTTTTCATGCCTCCGGCCCGGATTCCCTCCCACCTGCACTATTTAAGGATGGAGGTGAGCCCCTCTGCAAAGCACTGACTTCCATATTCGGACGTATCTGGAACGGGTCCCGGCTAATCGGAGTGAATCGATCCTGGTGGCAATCTTCAAGTAGGGTAATCCCACAGACTGTGCTAGCCAATAGGTGTATTAGCCTAACACCAGTTGTGTCAAAATTACTGGCCTCGATTCTCGTCCGTCGCCTCACTGCGGAACGGGAATCTTGGATTAGGGAAGAGCAGGCCAGTTTCCGCCCAGGACGTGGGTGTATAGACCCTATATTCACTTTGCGGCAGGTGCTAGGGCAGCGCCACGCATACCGCAAACCGACGACAGCCGTGTTCCTTGATTTCAAGAGTGCGTTCGATTCAGTCGATCGATGCATTCTGTTCGAAATACTTGCGCGGAAAGGCGTTCCAACGAAATATGTGAACATTTTACATACTCTATAGTCAAACACTACAGGTCACGTCAGGGTCTACGGTGTCCTATCGGATAGCTTTGCGACTACAAGTGGCGTTCGTCAGGGTTGTCCGATTTCCCCATTTTTTTCAATTTCGTCATGGATTTTATCATGGTGTTCCCTTGCGGAATCTCGCGATGTAGGCGTTGAAGTGC